AAATCCCATCTTGATTGAAGAAGAGAAAACAATGGTGTCTTTGTTTGGAGCCTGAAGGGAGGGATTGGGAAAAATGCAGATTGGGAGTAGTTTGAAGTGGGGCAGATGCTGGAGAAGGAATTAAGTGACCTCCACCCCTAGTGGCCTGAATGCTGTCTTGCACCACTACCTTCTCTAGTTGTCAAACTGTCTCTTCTAACTGTTTTATTTTTTATTTTCATTTTATCTAAATTTATGTTTTAGCTAAAAAAAAAAAAGTAATTTGTTAGTTAGGGGCAAAAAAAATGAAAAAAAAATTAGGACTCCCTAATTTTTTATACCAAGTCCCACTTCCACTCCTGAAAGCAAACCACTATTCATTTTTTTCCCCATAGAAGTTTTGGATGCACATTGCTTTTTTCATGTAGTATATATTTCAGAGCTTGTTTTGTATCTGCACAGTAGACACATCTCTCTTTTTTTTTTTTTAATAAATGTCAAAGCATTTCTTAATACGAAATCGTGACAAAATTTCCAGTGTAGAGGCACGGTACTTTTCCTGTTCCCCAATTGATGACACCTGTTCCCATTTCCAGATTTCTTTTTTTTAATTTCAGGCAATGCCACCAATAATATATTTTGTATGTGTTTTGCCTACCTATGTGAGTCTTTCTGTAGGATCATTTCCGTGAAGTGGAATTTCTGGGCCAAACGGTAGACACATTACGATTTTTTATGGACATTGCCAAATTGCCTTCCAAGGAGATTGCTGTAAATGTCCACTCCCACAGGAAGCCTATAAAAATCTTCACATTTGGATAAAGGAGCAGTTGAGCTATAGCAAGGAAAGCAAGCAGAAAGTTCCAATGATGAAGAATTTTCTTTTGCAGATTTGTGATATGAAGCTTGATTTGCTATTAGGAGTAGAAAAGATGAAAAGAAGAAACTCTTTTTGATAACCCAGCAAACAATATTTTTTGGACTAGGTAATACAGGACTCTGGTACAACATCCAAAAGAGTAGACTGTAAGAAGTCTCCTCTTTCCTCTACCAGCCACCTAGTGACCACATTTTAAAAAATTATCTTTTTTGTTGTTGTGAAATAATACTCCCAAAAAGCACATACAAATATAAAAAGTGTACATATAAGTGTAGTTTAAAAACAAATATGAACTACTCATGTGCCTACCAGCCAGCTTATGCATGGGGCATATTTGCATTAGGTTGAGCTGGATTGTAAGCTCTTGAAGCTGTATCCCATTGAGAACATGGCCTATCTCGGCTAATTCTTACAGCAGCTATACGAGGGGTGAAAATATGATCCCCATTTTATGGGTGAGGAAACTGAGCCGTGGAGGGGATTAAGCAGCCTGCACATGGACTCAGTTAATGAGTGGCAGATCTGCAGAGCTTGGCTTTTCAATGGCCTTGGACTCTGGTACTTGTGTAGATATCAGTAGGTTGATGATGTCTGGTGCACAGATGGTGCTTTCAGTTCTCATATCTTGCTTTAGATGCAGGCAAGGTTGGCCTTTGCTCGAGAGCATCAGGATGGGTAAGGCCTGATGTTTCTTTCAGGGGTGGGGTTTAGCATCAGATCCTCTTGCCCAGGGCTTCTCTCTGGCCACCTTCATCTCCCTGAGTGTGCGGGGGATGGGGGTTCTCCAGGAGGGAGGGGCTTGTTCCCAAGCCTAGAAAGGGTCCCCAAGGGGCTGTCACATGACAGTGTCTGCCTGCACCCGTGAGTGGGGGGTAAATGGTGGTACTTACACCGGGATGAGGAGGAGCAGGAGTGCTGGGGTGCAGAGCAGCACATTTTTGTAAAAGTCAGAAATGCCATAGCTAGAGCTTTCAGGGCCTACCATCTCCCTTCCATCTCCACGTCTGCAAGTCACTCGTCCTCCAAGCCAGGCTCAAATGTCACCCCCTCCCTGAAAGAAAACCCCTCATGGCTGTCATCCCCACTCTCCATTGTCGTTACGGTGTGGGGCTTTAAAATCTTCTACCCTTTGCTGTCCAGGCCTTGCTGGGTGCTCGCCCCACAGAGAATGCTCAGAGGGTATGTTGAATGGAGAGAGGATGGAGGCATGGCCCTGTGCACACTGGGCTTAGCTGTGGCATGGCTGGCCTCTCCTAGGGGGCACATCTCCTTCCAGATCACCTTTGGGAGTGGGAGGCCTCCGAATTTTGTTGTGTCCAGATTAAACCCTAATGTAAGTGTGCTGCTTTCCCCGTATTTTTAGTTTGGATGTTTCAAAACAGCAGCAGGTTATTTCCATTAACTATTGGAAGGAGCACCTGGTCTCCAAGTGAATTCCTGTTTTGATGAGTTGTAGGTTTGAAATCAGGTTTGTCGCTTGATCTGCCAGGGGTGGCGGGAGCCAGCTGTCTGCCGCCCAAGGCCCACAAAAACACAAAGTGTGCATTACAGTGCAAACATGAAAGCTAAAGCAGGAAAACTAGTCCCAAAGAGGTGGTCTGTCTTTCGTAGGGCCAGGATGGTCCACGCATTCATTCAATATTTCGTTTTGTAAAATAGTGCCTTAAAATATTCTTTACCTTGATCACAGAGTTTTTTGTTGTGCTCTTAAATTTCGTGACTGAGGCAGGGGCCTCCCTCACGTCACCCTAATCTCAGCCCAGGAATAGTTTTAAGAGAAAAGGTGGGAGATCTGTTCTCCCACTGCCCAAAGAGCCAACAGTTAATATGAAAATTATCACGAATACTGGCAGGTGTTTGGAGGTAGTGAGTAGAGAGAGAAAAAGGGACACAATGGCCTTCCCCACACTCCAGACCTTCTCTCCAAAGCTTCGCGTGCATGGCATCCATGTGTGTGCCATCCGTGTGCAGGCCATCCATGTACAGGCCATCCATGTGTAGGCCATCCATGTGTGTGCCTGTGTAAATGAGTATTTCTTCAGAACACTCGAGTTCATGCTTGGCTGCACGATAGTCTCCTTGGAAAGCTTTTTTAAATTCTGCTCAGGACACACCCAGAGCAATTAAGTATATTTATTAATCTTTATATGCATGTGTGTATGTGTGTGTGTGTGTATATAGTTTGTTGAAAATGTGAGGAATCACAAGAAACTGTTGACAGTTAGGACTGAAGGAAGAAGAGATGCGTGGGGTGAAAGAGGGAGCTTTTATTTTTTAATTTAATGCTATTTTTTACCTTAAACCTGGGAGCATAATACTTTTAGATATAAACAACTAGTTACCTTTTTTCAATGTAAAAATAAAAGGCAGCTTCCTAACTCCAGCCCTAGACCTAGTGCCTGGGGTCTCTGAGGCAGGCCCAGGAATCTGTATAGGGCTTCAGGGCTTCCCCCAGGTGGCAGCCCTCCCGTCCCTGGGCTCTGAGATGATCTGAGGGCCCATACAGACCCATTCCAACCTTCTGTTTGATTGCAAGGCTCCTGTCCAGCTGCCAGCTCGAGGGGTGGCCTTTGCCAGTGGAGGACACTGGGTGTTGGGTGCTGTCTGAGGTCTCTGCCCTGCCATTAACTTACCTGACCTCAGGCAGGGCCAGAAGCAGAATCTTACCACTGGTGGTTCCCAAAAGCCAATTAAACATTGGAATGTTCAGGGACATTTGTTAAAAATACAAACTCCTGATCCCTACCCCAGATCCCCCAGACCCACTGAATTGGTCTTAGGAGAAATGAGTTAAGATTTTAATAAACTATCCAGGCTGTTCAGAGGTTCTAGCAAGTATGTAAAACACTGTGCTGTCCAAGCTCATCTAAATAGTCTATTACACACACACACACACACACACCCACCGTCTATGCTTACATTTCTTTATCTGACATTCTGACTGCAGACAGCCGGAGTGAGTGCCCAATAATTGAGGTAGGAATGACTGTGCTTTGATAGGGCTGAGCTCCCTGGTCTATACTGTACATGTCAACTCTCGCTAGAAGGCAAGTCCCAGTAGTTCTAAAGCCAGCACAAGATCTAGTTTGGAAACGAGTTTCATAACTGTAGCAGATGCCATTAGTATCCTGCCGATGTCCTCGGCCCCTGCCATTTCTGGGCACACCTGTCCAAGTTGCAGCTGCCCACCCCGATGGCCTGAGGGCTTTCCCACTGGAGCCCACTCTGTCTACACGAGGCAGGCCAGACGTGCCGGGGAGGGAGACTCGGCTCCACCCAGGGGCAGCCAGGATCACTCCGAGGGTGCGTTCTGTGCTGTCTCCCGAGCTGCCTGGCAGAATGGGACCCTGGTGGCCCGCACAGTGACTGGTTCCTTTCCTTTCGTGCCCCACTTCTTTTTTTTTTTGAGACAGAGTCTCACTCTGTTGCCCAGGCTAGAGTGAGTGCCGTGGCGTCAGCCTAGCTCACAGCAACCTCAAACTCCTTGGCTCAGGCAATCCTCCTGCCTCAGCTTCCTGAGTAGCTGGGACTACAGGCATGCACCACCACACCCAGCTAATTTTTTCTATATGTTTTTAGTTGTCCAAGTAATTTCTTTCTATTTTTTAATAGAGACGGGGTCTCGCTCTTGTTCAGGCTGGTCTCGATCTCCTGAGCTCAAATGATCCGCCCGCCTTGGCCTCCCAGAGTGCTAGGATTACAGGCATGAGCCACCGCGCCAGGCCTGTACCCCACTTCTTCATTCCCCTACAGGTGCTTCCTGGGATTGCTTCTCAGATAAACTACTTATACTGGAATCTTTGTCTCAGGGTCTGTTTCTGGGAAAACCTATACCAAATAATATAAAAACAAAATGTATTTTGCCCGCTATAAAATAAAAACACTAAGGCATACAAGTTGGAAGAGTAAAAATCTTCCTCCCAAAGGCAGGTGGCATTTTTTGCTGCATTGGCACCCATTTGTGCTAGGTTTGCCCGTGTGGATGTTATGATCCTTTGTAGACAGTTTTGTCTCCTGCTCAAATCGTTTTCCTCATGTTGCCATGAATCCTTGCTCATGATGATTTTTAGTGGCTTCGTAGTCGGGAGGCTCTGGCTTGTCTGTGACCAACCAATGATGTGTCTGCCCCTCGTCCTTGCAGGCATTCGTCCCTACAAATGTGATGTCTGCAACAAAGCCTTCACCCAGCGCTGCTCCTTGGAGTCCCACCTGAAGAAAATTCACGGGGTGCAGCAGCAGTACGCCTACAAGCAACGCAGGGACAAGCTGTACGTCTGCGAGGACTGCGGCTACACGGGCCCCACCCAGGAGGACCTGTACCTGCACGTGAACAGTGCCCACCCGGGCAGCACGTTTCTCAAAAAGACATCCAAAAAACTGGCGGCCCTTTTGCAGAGCAAGCTGACGTCCACACACCAGGAGAATACCAACTTGAGTGAGGAGGAGGAGAAGCAGTGAGGAGGAAGAGAAGCAGGAGGGGAGACACCAACGCTGCCACGTTTACACGGACTTTTGGTTTCGAGGGTCCTCCACCCGACTGGCTCTTCTTACTTACAAGTGTTCAGTTCGCCTCTCTGTCCTTTTGGGACATGGGCACAGTAGGGTCCGTTCCAAAGTTGTCCATTATGGTGGTGATGTCAGGCCCTGTAACACGCGTGCCATCAGACACAGTCACGTGCATATCACCAAAGTTTGTTTTCCATACTCCTGATGGCCAAGATCACCGCGCAGGATTTATTATTTTTTTTTTTTAGGATTTTCACACATGGAGGGAGAGGTATTTCTTAGCTCATTACGGTGCCTTGAAATAAAAGTACTTCCACTTGAAATGCTACTCAAGCAGGGAAAATGAATTTTATTATTCTGAAAGACTTTACAGAAATTATTTTAATAAATGAAATGTTCTTGTGAAACTTTCTTCAAAAAGCAAAACAGGCCAGGTGCAGTGGCTCACGCTTGTAGGCCAAGGCAGGAGGATCACTGGAGGCCAGAAGTTCAAGACCAGCCTGATCAACATAGTGGAGACTTCATCTCTACAAAAAAACAGAAAAAAAATTAGTTGGGCGTGGTGGCATGTGCCTGTAGTCCCGGCTACTCAGGAAGGCAGGAGGATCACTTGAGCCAAGGAGTTTGAGGTTGCTGTGAGCTATGATGGTACCACCGCACTCCAGCCTGGATGACAGAGTGAGACCCTGTCTCAAAAAATAAATAAACAAATAAATAAAAATAAAAAGCAAATCAGAGCATTGAGCTACAGCTCCCTGTTAAGGCTTTTTGGGTGACATTTAATTTCGGGTTATTGGGGTGGGGGCTTGATTATTTTGTGTTAGTGGGGTGGGTTTGAAGAGTAACTGGCTGATTGCGGGGGAGGGGAACCCACACTGAGGGGCTGGCAGGTTGGTGAGCAAAGATGCCTGGGTGATGTGGCAGGGAATTCACAGACTCTTTGGTCTGTTTTTATGGCCCTGGGTTTCTGCAGAGGTCTTGACGCACTGGTTGGAGGCCCTCCATTGGGTAAGGTGTGTGGGCTCGCTCTCTTGTAGGACGGACAGCAGCGTCAGGTGTGTCCCACAGGGTATGTGACTGCTGAGTGCAGTGACCTTTGGGTGCCTCCGTCTCACCGTGGAGGTCAGTCCCAGTGGCACAGGAGATGAGCAGTGAAGTCCTGGAGACCGATATAGGGCAACATGATGGCCTCTGGCCCAGAGGGCGGGGATTTCCATGGTCCCTCCCTTGCTGGAGGGGCAGCAGAAAGGGCCCAGGACCCTCCTGCTGGTCAGCTCCACCCCATTGTCCTTCTGTTGCCTGTTCCCTGTGCCTTGGGCACTGCCTGGCCACTCCTAGCCCAGGGAAATGGGAATAATGAGGCCATTTTCTCACGTCCTCCTTCCCTCCTTCCTGCCCTCCTCCTTCCCTTTCCTATCCTTCCTTTCCTTCTACCGTCTTCTCTCCTTATTTCTTTCTCTCCCACACCATGGGCGTTATACCAAGATTTGGGCATTTTAAGTAGCATATCGCATAGCTTGAGTCAACACTTCTCTTCCAAATCGTCACTTTTCTTTTGGAAGGAAGGAAACAAAGCTTTTTGAGCACCTACGATGCGCCAGGCACTGAGCTGGGCATCCCTGCCTGCACAGATATCTTCTGGGACAGTCCTCAGAGCACCCCCAGGTCAGCAGCCCTGTTCCCCGTGAGCAGATGAGGTGCCTGCAGAGGCTGACTGCTGGCGATCGGAGGAAGAGGCCAGTAATCCGAAGTCCAGTCAAAACCCCTGTATTTTCCTCTCTGTCCCCACCCTCCCTTCAAAAAGGAAAGAAATAGCCTCAAGTTTGACTGGGACCCTACAGAGGGAAGTATGAGACCAGGGATGACTTTGAGGGATCCTCACCCCTCTGGCTCCTCTGACTGGCAGGGTTCAAGTGCCATCGGGCCAGCCTGCAGAGTGACGTAGGTCTGTTCTTCCTCATCTGAAGCTCTGGTGCTTGGGCCGAGGCTGCAGCACCCCACAGTCTCCAAGTGGCACCGTGTGCAGCCTCCTAGGACTGGCAGCCCTGAGGGCTCGATCCTGACACCAGAGGGCTGACTTGGTGCAGTCTCCTAGCACCTGCCACATAGGAGAGAGAAGCTGGAAGGCCGTTGGTTTGCTTTCTCCTCAGCTATCCAGGTCATGCAGACAAGAAAATTGAGCATTCGTAGAAAGGCATGTCCAAATGTCTGCCTGGAGCATCTGGCTTGTGGCCTATTTTGCACAGGGAATTGTGAACCAGCTAACATTTCCTTTAGGGTCAGACATTTTATTAAACAACTCTTTTGGTGACAAGTGACAGAAACCTGGTTTAAATTGACTTTAGCAGAAAAAGGAATGTATTACCTGAAAAGGCTAGGGTTCCAGTTTCAGGGGTGGCCGGATCTAGTGCTTAAATAGTGTCATCGTCTCTTACCTTTCCGTCTTTTAGCTCAAGTTTTCCGCATGGTGGCTTCTTTCTCAGACAGACTCGAATAGAGCCCGGAAGACTCTGGAATTCTGCCCCACAGTGCAGTAGCTCAGCAGGAGGGTTTCTCTTTCAGCCTGAGATCATGGGCTGACTCTGGGGCCTGCTCTCAACCACTCACCATGTCCTGGGAGGTGCGGTGCCCTTTTACCCCAGGTCAGGCCATCTCCTGCCTCGCCTGCCTTGAGTGGAGAGAGCAGGGCAGCTGTACCCCTGGCCTGGGAGGGATGGGAGGGTGGTTCCCCAACAGAAAATCAAGGCATGCTAGTTAGGATAAGGCACAGCTGCTGCCACACAGAGTCCCAACACATTCTGTGGCCTAAAGAAGAGAGAGGGTTGTTTCCTTCTCACGTGGCAGCTCCGGGTTGGGTGGTTCTCCCCCAAGCCACCACTCGGGGACCCAGATTTCTCTCCTTGTGCTGCTCTGCCATGCCCCAAGACATTGTCAGCGTATGCATGGTTGAAGCTAGGTTTCTATGGGTCTCAGCTGGTAGAGTTCTTTGCTTTGATTTCTCGAGAAGCCAATTTTCAGGCAAGGGTTCAAGTTCAAGAAGATTGCTTTGGACATGATCCCAGGGGCATCTGTAGGGGAGTGGGAAAGTATGACAGGAAGGAAAGAGTCAATAAAGCAAACAGAATCAAGGAAGTTATTACTGTGGGCAACTGGAGCTTAATCCTCCCGGGGACCTCCAGGAGGTAGTATGGAATGTTCCTCAGTGTTATCCCACGGAGGGGCATAAGAAACTGTCCACTGAGTCCCCATCCATCATCTGTTGAGAGCAGCTGACATTGGGGCCCTTCCAGCTTTCCCCGTGCACCGGCTGAGCATGCTTCCAGGGCCAGGAAAACCCCCAGACAGAGGTACAGAGGTTAGCCATGAGCAGCCTTCAGCACATAGACCCGAAGGCTTATGGAACCCAGGCAGGTGACGACTGTGTCTGGTACAGTTGTGGAAGGGTCACACCCCCTACCTGAAGCTGCTAGATGACACATGGCACATAGCCCCTCCACTCACATTCCATGGGGAGGATTTAGCTGCGTTAACTTGGGGGAGTGGAGAAAAGTAGCTGCAGCACGTTCATGCGGCAGAATGGGGAAAGGCTTATGGTGGCCAACTCGAAGTCTCTAGGATGGCAGGAAAAACCAACGCATTTCCATTCTAGCCTTTTTGACCCACTCCTCTTCCCAGCCTTGTTGACCTGTCCTGCTCTCAGCCAGTTGCCAGGAAATCCAGCTGACATGCCCAGGACCATGACTTAGGGCACCGGTTCTCAGGCTGGCAGCCCTGGAGCCCTGGTTCTGTGGGTGGCGGAATGGAGATCCGTAACTACTGACCTATACTGCGTCCGCCCAGCAGTAGCTGCTTTGGGTTGGTGGAAGGTCAGTACCTGATCAGTGTGGAAACGCCGGTGCTCGTGCTAGTCGGAAGTGCCTACCAATTGTTCATTTTGGAGAAAGGAATCTATTATCCATCAGTGTGGTTTAGACTGTTGATGTCTTAGGTTAGGTTGTAGACGCAGAGCCTGAGATAGGGACTCCGAGGTAAGTGAATCATTGAGGGGGGCTCTTGGGAGAAACCAATAAGGAGGTGAAGGAAGCCAGGTACAGCAGAAGAAGGGACTAGGCCAAGGTGTGGGGTCCACAGAAGTCTAGCCTCAGCCTGATCCTGGGGGAGCTCTGGAGTGTAACTGGCACCATAGAAGTTGTCCTCACCTTGAGACAAGGAGGCACCTGTGGGTGGCCCTGGTGGGCGAGGGTATAACCACCAGGCATTCTCAGCAGCATCTGACAGCTGTTTAGTAGCCAATGCTCTGAGCAGCCGGGGCCGGCTCATTCGCAAAGGCCTGCGAGGTCGGGGAGAGAGAAGTCACAGGGATAGAGTCTTAGGGGTTGAAAGAGATTGAGGTCCACACCCTCTGGCTTTTGATAAAGGACCTGTTTTTGGAGCTAAATGAGTGAATCACTTATTGCAAACCATGTGGTGTTTTCGGAAGAAATAAAAAAATATATAAAAATGTATGCAAAGAAAACTTGTCTGTCCAAACCAGTCCCTCATCTGCCAAGCCTCTCCTCTGCCCTTGTAGTTAAGCATGTTATTAGCTTCTTGTGTAACTTTCCTGAGTTTCTTTGCTCATATATAAGCAAATATGAATATGTGTATTCTTGCTCTCCACTGTTTCTTCTTAAATTAATTTTAATTAGCAGATAGCATACTATATATACTGTTCAGCACCTTGCATTTTTTCTTTTAATAATACATCTAGTAGTTCTTTCCAGAACAATAAAAAAAATTCTCATGCTTCTTTACCTAGCATGGTGTTGTATGGATGCACCATGACTTAGGTTATCAGCCTCATATTGATGTTGTTTCCAGTGTTGTGCTACTGTGGACAATGCCGTAATAAGTAACTTTATGCATGGGTCATTTCGCATATGTGCAAGCATATCTGTGGGATAAATTCCCAGAAATGCAATTGTTAGAGCTAACAATTTCATACAATTAAGGGCCATTTGTAGTTCCTTGTTCTGTGAACTGACTGAATGCCCATTTTTTCACTGGGGTGTTGGTCTTTTTTTCTGCCTAACTTCTAGAAGGTTTTTTTTGTTTGTTTATCTGGTTCTATTGATATGTCAGGAAGTTTAGCCCTTTGTGATGTAAGTTGCTGGTTTTCATAATGTTGATAGATACGGCCCAATTACCCTGCACGGAGATTGTACCAATTTGCAACGCGTGGAAGTGTCCACGTCCTCATTGCCACCAACATTGTCTTGCTGTGGTTGGGGATTTTTGTCAATCCAATAGGGTAGAAATAGTTTTTCAGTTTAGTTTTATTTTACATTTCGCTTATTATGTGTGAGAAAAAGAGAGTGAATGTCTTTTTATATGATTAAGGGCCATGTGTATAGTAGTCCCTTCGAATCTGAGGGAGATTTTTTCCA